GTGGCAAAAAACGCCAGTGTAGTCCCTCTCATTCTCTCTCAACATTTTCCACAGGCTTTGGGGTCTGACGCATTAGCTCTGTCCAAGTAGGACTGATGATAAATGTGACTCACCATGCTTGCCACATTCCTTCTTGGTGGGATGTTTCAATACAGGGTTTACCTAATGACTTCCTACAAGGAAACACTTAAGATTATTTTCCTCTAGCTTCTTATGCAACACCCACACTGCCCTGCATGAGGCCTTTCCTTCAGGCAATGAGATGTCTTTGCTCAGAAAGGAGCACAGTTCATTGCTCGGGCAAGTGAAAGGCAACCATCACCTTCCTGCTCACCTGAAACAAATGCACATACACAGACTGACGTCCACCACTCTCAGCCCTTCAGTGAGACATCAGTTCATCTCCCAGTCTCCTGAATCTGGCAGCTGGTTATTTCAGGTGCATCACAACATCTGGCAACCAACCCCAGACTTGCAGGGGCCAACGCTGCCTGGAGAGGACCTCTCTGGCAACCAAGCACTGACCCTGGGGAATCCAACCCCAGAGATGAAAAGCTCTGCAAGCCACAGAGAGCCAAACTACCCTTTTCCCCGTGTTTCTCTTGCTTTCTGGAGAACACCTAGAGAAAACCTCACCTCCTTTGAGCCTAATGCAGCCCTTTCCTGTTGTCAAAACACCTTTTGTAAATGTGGGGCACAGTGTTCTCCTCTGCCACTGAAACCAAAATCCTCTTCCTGTTGGCTCTGCCCCCCACAGCCCCCTTGGATAGGTACCCCAGAAACTTCCTTGTCTCCCTCACCCAAACCCCACATCTCCATGTCAGGGTCCATCTTCTCTGTCAGGCTTCTCCCCACACAGACACCCATACACAAGTCAAGAACTACATCCCCGGGGTCACTGCCCATTTCTTAGGGATTAAATTTCCCTATGAATCTTAAAGCACAAGACTGTTATTCTTTTCGCCCCCGCACCACTTCCAGTGTTACATCACACACATCTGCCCATGCTTCTCCACAACCCCTGAGGATCACAAAGCAAAAGTCCCTATCTGATGCAGGACTGGTGCTGCTATCTGCAAGCCAGAGCTTTGTGGCTGGGCTTTGAGGTACGTGCTCGTCAGCAGGAGACAAAGTCTGCATCAGAGCTGCAATGATTCAGGGGGGGTTGAGGGTGATTTTTTTTCTTTCCTCCCAGCCAATAAGAGCATTCAAAGAGGCACATCTTCCCCTGCAGGAAGCAGAGCGGTCACTCCTCTTGTTTGCTCCTCTTCTGAAGTGGTGGAGATGGCAATGAACTTCGCCTGCAGCTTCGCCGCACTTTGCTGTTTAGCACTCTGGAGCTTCACCAGAACTTCAAGTGGTAAGAGTGGAGAGTGATTTCTGTTTTCCTCGTGCTTCAGGTCCCGTGAGTGCTGCTTTCTAATGCACTGGTAAATAACAGCCCTTCTACAACTGCTGCCCATGTTGGCTCAGCACTGCAGGGTTCAGACCGGAGCTGAAAATCCAGCTGCTTAAAAGACTTGCTCCCTTTGTAGCGAACCACATTATCCAGGGACATCATCTAAGGATTTTAAAGTCAACTTATGGTTTTAACTTATTTGCCAGTGTTTAAACCCTGCATGACCTTGATTATTAAATCTAAAGACTATGGGTAACAATTTGACTGCTAAGTACAGATGGGCAGTTGAGTGATGATCAGCTGACTTTAATGAAACATTACTCTGTATCGTTTCTTTCCTTGCTGAAGAAGGAAACTCTCTTGATTGTAGCTGGCCTTAAGTCTTTCGAATGGGAGCTGCAGACAGGAGTGTTTTCTCTCTGAAAATCTTAGTTCTACTTCAGTTTTACTTTGGCTTCAAAATACAGAAAGCACTAATTGACTCAGGGATGGCGTTTGGTTAGCCAGCAGCTTTTTGTTTCAGCTGCGGTTTCCTTTGGGGCTTGCAGAGGCATGCAGGAACTCTGCTGCATCTTAAATGTGAAGATAAAGCCTAGCCTTGCTCCTAGTAATGGAGAGGAGGTTTTGAAAGCACGTCATGAAAAAAAAAAAAGCAACCTGTTGTACTCCGCCTATTTGCTTCACTGCAGACTGGGAGCATCCATAGGATTGCTCTCATACTGCAGGTACAGGGCTCCCAAATTATTCCTCAGTGAGGAAAGCAGAAGAGAGGGCCTCTTAATACAACGGTCAACTCATCTCTGCAAGAACAGCCCTCTCTTGCTTAATAACAGGCAGTTGCCTGTTAACACAGAGCAAGAAAAGAGTCTACCCTACTACTGCCCAAGAGAAGGAGGAGGGCTAGATTTTTTCCCTCTCTTCTCATTTCCAAACTCAGAAGCAAGGATGAGGTCTGAAATACAAATGCTCAGGACATAAGCATCTCCTTGTAGTACAGTAAGAGCTGTTTTCCCAGGTCGTGAGATCACATCCTCCAGGCCTCCGAGTATCGTAGGTGCCTGGCCAAGTCATGCCGTGCCTCTGCTCCCACCCAGGCCTAGATGACAAGTGTTTCACCAGTGCTGGTATGCCTAGAGCCCTGCACTGTTACCTGGGCCATTCTGCTTTGCTCCTGGAGCAGAGCCATCACCTTACACACATTCAATTAAGGTAATGGCCCTGGAGGGCCAAGCTAGGGGAGAGGCTGTCAGGAAAGGTTGCAGTGAAGGAAATCAGAACTACAGGTGCCTCACACCAGAGTTTCTGGGTTTTGGGAATACAGTTGTGCAAACTATTCCAAACAGCAAAAGAGATTTCAGACCAGTGTGTGTGCCATGCAGTGACCACCTTGAACAAGAATCAAAGCACACCAAGAAAAACAAATCCTAGCCTTGAGGAATCTGGGTCACTAGAGGAAAACAGGGGGATAAAGTTCTCCCACAAGGGCTCAGTAGATTTTATACCCACTTCGCTCTGGATGAGTCATTCTCAACACCAAGTTGCAATGGGTGAAGGAGGTAAAATGCCTGGTATCCCTTGCTGAAAGCTGGGGCAAAAATATACTAGCCTAACACCTGCCTACAACACATGGTATATTACCAGCCTGCTACCTGTCTACAACACGTGGTCCAGCTTGCTAGATGGTGAGCCCACCTCTCCAGATGTTGCATTTTGGAGGCCTTGCCATGTGTGATGTTGCTGGATCTACCAGGCACTGGAGTCAGGAACATGGGCGTTTTGGACTCTGACTCTTGCTTTGAGTAACACATTTTATAGTTTTCTTCCCATACACACAGTGTGACTTCAGCCAGCCTCACTCGTCCTGCCACCCCATGCCTTGATGTCACCATGACTCAAGAGGTGTTGACAGCTATTAAGCTGCAAAGGGACCTTGTGCTAAGCTTGAAAAAGCCTGCAGTTATCTCCTCCTACTATAAGGGACAGTATCTGCTGGCAACACCCCCACCACTGCCACATCTAACTCTCCAAGAGACATAAAAGCATAGATTCAAGAAGAATCCTTGAGACCAGCCAGAAGAGCCCAAGCCAGTGACCTGCTCTCAGCCTAGCAGCCTGTCTCAGTTGCTAGCTGAGCTCAGGAAAAAGCTGGTTCCTACAAGCTATTGGGTTGGTATTGATGAAGCAGGAAAAAGCACGACATCCCTGACGAAAAGGACAGCTGGCCTTATAGGCAATACTCAAACCAAAGCCCTGCTCTGCCCCAAGCTTCCTTTCTGACTTCAGACAGGTCCTGCATGGCCCTCTAGAATCACCTGTGGGCCCCAGCACCTTAACCCCCAGGCAGAGTCTCTGTTCAGGACAAGAGGACAAACAGATGCTTTGGAAAGTCTTACCCATAAGCTGAGCACTAGATAAGATCTGCTGCCTGAGAAATACCTTCAGTCCTAGTCTGCATGGTAATGAGTTTCTGTGACTCTAGAATCCCACCCTTGCTGCACTGGGAAACTATCATCCCATAGAGAATAGCCTCAGCACCTACAAGTGGATTCTGGGCTGTCAGGTAAAAAAACCCTGCCGGGCTGCCCAGCACTGGCTGCACACCCAGTTCTAACATAGATCGGAGATGAAGGACAGGAAGGCTTGTCACCTCCACACCAGACACAAAGCCACTTGCAGAACAGCTGCTCCTCTCAGCCACATGGCCTGGGTCTCTCAGCTCCCACCTGCAAGAAAACTTGGGGGTCATTAAGGTAGCTGGATTATCAGCCAGGAAGAGATGTGAATTTGGACATCTTTGGGTTGAGGAGGGATGTGGAACTGAGTCTCTCCTTTGCAGGTCAACACTTAATCCCTGAGCAGTGTTACAAGAGGGTGCTGCAATTACTACCTGCAAGGGAGGATGTGATAGTGTAACTAAGATGTACATAAGCAACTTGAAAGGTGAATTTTTGCAGCCTCCTATACCAATGATGGCATGTAATGCTGGGGTGGTTTTTTTAATAGGCTCTGGATCACCCTCTCTCTTCTACTTGGGTTTCTCAGTACAAACTGGCTTAAATACAGTCTACGCTCTGCACTTGGCCGTTAGTGAGAGATCTAGATGTGAGAAAAAAAGCCGGAGGTGACAAAAAGCTTGACTTTCACAGCAAACTTAGCACAAGCTTTGTGTGCACGTGCACACACAGGCTCACTGCCTATAGACACACAGTGTGAACTCCAAGGGCCACCTCCTGCACTGGCAGGTCTTGGTAACAGCAGGGGCTGCACGGCAACTTCCACAGGTTGAGGATTTTTTCCTCATTTGTATTTCAGCAGCGGGAAAATGGAGGGGGAAGTAAGTGTAAAAGGGGAGGAAATAATGACATCAACTGTAAGCTTCAAGCTTCTTTTAAATTATTGAAAAAACAAGCAGCGCATGGGGAAATTAGCTACACAACCAAGTAAGAACATACAGTGATAAGGGCTGTGTGGAAAAAAGTGCTCAAATGTGAAAGCTTGTGGGTTGCCCTCCCACCCCACCCCCTATCTCCATTTCCTACACACCTTGCTCCTCCACTTCATGGCTGTGATAAGATGGTCCTTGTAATTTGGGTCAGGGCTTCACACTGCACTTCAGCACCCAAAGCAGCCCGCTCTGCAGGACAGTGTGGAGCTAGTCCAAGTTCTGCCCCGGGACCTTCCCTGCCCAGCTGGAGAACAGGGACACTCTCTCCTTTATCAGCATGTGGGACGAGGGTATCCTCCCCTCACGTTTATCACCCCCTAAATCCCCCTAAAATAAAAACCTCAAGATGCCATCAAAGGATTAAGGGGAGGGTGGGAAAGACTTATGTCTGCAAGTTAAACTTGGCATGCCAACTAAGAACAGCAGAGCTCTGCCAGCCAGTGTTTGATATCTTATTAAAATTATACTGTACTCTGAGCAACATGACCTAGCTTTATAACTAGATTCAAAGTTGGGCCTGCTATAAGCCGGGAGTTGTACCAGAGATGTTCTAAATAATATTCATGATAAACTGACTTAGAAGAAGCCAGGGTGAGCTCTGCTACCACTTCTAGCAGCATCTTTTTATGTCACTTCATTCCACAGGATTGTTTCACCATTTCAAACACATAAAGGAAAATTGCTTTGTAATGGATGCAAGCAGAGTCCTTCTGAAGCACAAGTGCGTTGGACAAGTAAGAAGGTTTAGCACTGGTTCAGAGGCTGAAACTCCCACTGTTTCAGGCACCTGATGTGTTTTGCACTCATGTTTTGTGTTGTTTCAGCTACATATGTACCACCACCTCATTCGACCATGAAGCCTGGCTTCCCTGTCCCAATGAACACAGACAACCCTGGTGTTCGCAAAGCAGCTCGCTTTGGGGTTTACAGATACAACAACAGTTCCAATGACCTCTTTCTGTTTAAGGAATCACAAATAAACAAAGCCATGGTACAGGTAAGAAGACCCCAGACTTCTGGTGGTCCTCCAAACCATTTGCCAATTGATCCTCTACAGAGCACCCAAGACATAGGAGCCCTCATCCTCCTCAGGACTGCTATGCATGCCTAAAGATAAACAGCACATGTCCCTCTATCCCATTCAATTGCTTTGTAGGAGGGCTCTGCCCCCAGCCCCCCCCTGTAATTCAACACAAAACACTTCAATCCACACCACCACACACAATTCACAGATGTAGCACTTGAGCCCTAGCCAAAATTCTGGCATCTGTTTCCCCTGCCCTTACTTTAAAGGAGGAAACTACTTTCTCTAGATTGTCAGAGGGCTGAAATACATGCTCCATGTGGAAATTGGACGCACAGTGTGTGAGAAGAGGGAGCACTCCAGCCTGGACAGCTGTCACTTCCAGAGGAAAAAAAACCTGCAAAAGGTATGTGTTCAATTCCTTTGGGGTACCCAGTAAGTGCAGGTAATTCTTGGCCACCTCTAGCTCTATAGCCACCTTTAGACCAGCTCTGCCATGTCCCCACAGATGTAGAAGCCTCCTCTGTGCAGAGCCAGCTGGGGTGAGGCAGGGTTATCAGCAGAAGCAGCATAGTACCTCTCATGCACCCAGGGCCAGCTCCCATCTGCAAGAAGTTGAACCAGACAGAGCCACCTAGACCGTATTCCTGGGTAACTGAGCGAAAGGGTACAGAAGTAGAGTAGGTGCTAAATAGAGAGATTTCCTGGGTGGGGGAAATCCTTACACGGGGTTTCCCACTAAGATATGAGTACTTAACAAACAGTACTTTTCCCAGAATAAAGGGGGCAGACAAAAGATGCTGTTCTCTCCTGCCCCATCATGGCCCACAATGCTGAGACCAAGCAGCAGCCACCTGAACTTCATCACCAATTCCCATTTTATTTGCAGATGCTGAGATGTTATTTTGAGGTCTGGATAATGCCTTGGTTACATAAAGCATATGTCCCCATTGCTCTCTGTCACTGACTCATGCTTCCCCATGGGAGCCTGACTTCCAGCGGATCTGCCACTATGAGTTTTTCCTTGCCTGGACTGTTGAGGCCAAAACTGAAGTGGGGAACGGCCGTACAGAATTGCCACAGAGCTTTTCTCTCAAAGCATGTGGTTACTTTTCTCCCTGAGAAAGATGCTCAAGAGTGACAAAAACCTGACTTGACTGAATGTCTTGCTATCCAGCTGTGTATCTGTTTTTCCAAAACTAAACTGCAGATGAGAGCATGTTGTCATTCATTTAGTAGAGGGCCATCCACACTCTGGCTGAATTTCCAAGCAGTGTGAACACACCCAGGAAGCTCTGTTGGTCTTGCTTTATTCTGTGATGAATCTTCACACAGCTATGATGTAAACAAGTCTAAACCACAGCACATGTGACTACAACACTGAGAAAAGCTTTACAACAATGGAATAGTTTGTCTGGGAATACACACATACACACACAAAAAAATTCTTAAGTTTCCCCAGTGCTAGACAAAAGGTTAGACTGTCAGGAATACATGAGGTAGAGTTGTTCTTTCTTCAAGACAAGAGTATGGATAAGGCTGTCTTGAAACACACCCGCAGCCCATAAATTACACAGTCTCACTAGTGCTTCTACTTCAATAGAAGCTAATCCACATTATGAAAAGGCATCATTGCAAATGCCAAGACAAATAAACCCAATCATATTCCCAAAGCATATTTTTGCTGAGGTTAAACAATGTAGTTTCATTCAGGTTCATATAAGACATTCAATCTCTGGCTGACCACAGGTTATATTCAAACTTCGTAGAACAATGGTCTTCTCTAGGTGGGCATCTACTATTCCTTCAGCCTTCACTCTTCCTGCATGGGTAGATTATTGCTTACACTGGTCTAAGGCCCTTATTTGGAAGGATTTGGGTAACTGCTCCCTTAAACCACCAATAAAGTCTAAGCACATGTTCAGTCATACCCAGACCAGCACTTATGAATGGATAGGGGCCTGACCTATGCTATGAAGAATGCTTTCTTTCCACAAACACCCCTTTTCATCTGATAGCTGTTGCCTTTCTGCAGCGACATTGCAGCTCATATTAGCAGTGACATGCACACTTTCAGCCTTTATAACAACCACTCTGTAAAAAAAGGCCAGTGAAGGGCTCCAGGCCAAGATCCAGGGACCTGAAGACAGATGGATCTATTAACAGCACAGCTGACATCTCTGCTCCAAGTAATCCCAAAGCAAACTTTGCAGGCTGGGCAAGTCTCAAGTTCTGCTTCAGAAACATCACTTGTGATGAGTAGGTGGCCCAGCAGCAGTTCAAATTCAGCATCCACTGCCAGAGAGGCAGCTGTGCTGCATCTTCTCTTTGGGGGCAGCAGTCTCTTAGCTGGAAAAAAAAAAAAGAAATGCTCAAAAGAAGCCTCCAGAAGTGCCATGGATGGATGTAGTGTGGTGCTACATTCATCCATCATGTAAGCCATCACTGACAGCCTGGTGCCAAAGACAAGAAAGAAGCAAGCCAACTGTGGTGACTCGATTTGTCCACAAAGCAGGAAAGCCAAGCCACAACTAAGTTTGTGAGAGAGCAAGATGAGCTGCTCTCCAAATCTCAAAGGGGTAACAATGGTTTTAATCCCTCTTCCACTTCAGCTGGGTGCATCACACAATGCCAAGCGCTTCCAGCCAGGCTGTCAGCTCCAGATAGCCTCAGCCCAGAACAGGCCAGACAGATCCACATTTCCTCCTTCAATCAGCAGGACAGCCTGGTGCTCAGTAACAGATGTCATCAGCCTTTCCACATGCCACAGTGGGGGTGAGAAGGCAGAACACAAGGCGCTTAGGTCCGTGCTGGCAGTAAGCACATCACAGAACAGTCTCCCATGTGTGACCCTTCAAGCCCCTGGCATAAAGGGCTTCATCTCAGTCTCCTCACTGAGTTAATTTCCCATTTGTCAAAGAAACAAAAGTTAAAGCCAGGTGAACCTGGCACCACGCAGGCTGACAAACCTTGCTGCTCTCTCAAGGAAAATGCAGCAAGATTTTCTGGACCCCTCTATCCAGGCTTGTTGGAAGCAAGTTTCACCAAAAACTGTTGCCAGCATTTACTGCAACACAGAGGAACTCATTGCAACCAACACAATGGGAAAGGAAACAAGCACTTTCTGAGAAAGACAAATTAGCCTTATGTTTACAGCTGCAGCAAAGTGTTTACTGTAACATTACAGTAAGAAAGGCACACTGGAATAGCAGCATCCATCATCCCTGCCCAGGTAACAGAGTTATCACGAGCACCAGAAAAATGAACAGAGCTAAAGTCAACTGAGCTCTTAGTATCACTCCAGAGCACTTGGATCAGGAAGGATGTGGACAATTAAAGTCCTACGTCAAGGAGGACACTGCTAGGACTGACCCAAGGAATGGGAGCTAAGTACCAGTTAATCACAATGACATGCAGCAGTCAAAAAGCCAACGTGTCTGCTCTCTGCATCTTTGCTAGAATTTACAAAGTTAACTGTTCACCAATTCATTCCAGAGAGTTCATACCTTTGCAGAGCTTGCTGAGGCTCTGACATCTATTCCAGGCTACAAAGGCAATTAAATAAATATTTCTAGTAAAGATTCAGGGCATAAGGAGAGAAAGGAAAGTTGCTCCTGCCAGCCCCAGATGCTGGAGAAAAAAGACCAATCCCAGCAGTTGCATTAAGAGCTTCTGGGACCACCAAAGCTGGTGCTTCAGAGGCATGGTTTCATGCAGGAACGCGACACGCAAGCTTCAGATCTCTCTTCTGGTGGAAGCACTGGGCTCAGTGCATGAGTTACTTTCTTGGCTCATCTGTTTATGAGGATCTTTCACCTGTTCCCTAACAGTCTGCCACACAGAGGGACTAGTTGCACACTGAGGAGACCTCCGTGCACATGGTGCTACTCAAACCAAGCTAGCCTCCATTTTACCAGAGCTTCATAGAGCCCAGCGATCCTCAGAGATCTGCATTTGCTAAAAAGCTTTGCTATGCAAATATTTCCTCTCACAATCCTACTTTAAATTGCATAGGAAACAAACGGCCTGTCACCAAAATATAAAGCATTGCTGACTGACGGACTTCCACTTCGCATTCACTTCACATCAGCAGCTCCACATTAAGGACCTGGAAGGCCTTTTTATACCAGTTGTACCCAATTTCACAACCTGACTGACTTCCAGGACCCACTGACAGCTGGGGGAGTCACACATGCAGCTGCACAGAACCAAGACAAGGTTTAACTGGCAGCAGTTAGTTTCCTCCTTGCTGGCTGGGAGGAAAAAACTTGTATATGGCTAATTAAAAATCACTTACTGCTAAATTTTTCAGTCCTTACCTCAAACAGAGCAGCAAAAAGAGCTGCCCCATGTGCTGCTTCTTTTACAGCATTCTGGTTTCTAAGCAAGCTAGATGAGAAACTCCAAGTGTCAGCATCATCAGATCTCTGTTGTGATCACTGAGCAGACAGACCCAGAAGCCAGGAGGTCATTTTCTCGTCTGCAAAAGTTACTGCCACAAAGCAGACTCGGATTTAAAGGAATAGGATTTATGCCAAGGTTTTGCAATCACTTTCATCAGCTGTTTACACTGACATACCAACCTTTGCATAACCGTGTTGGGGCATACATGAGTTACCTTCCAGCAGCTCTGCTACAGAAGTTTGCTCCAGAAAAGGGACAGGGCAGTTAGCTGTGGAATAACATTTTGAATAGCTTCAGCAAAATCTTCTTGATACTTGTGCCCTGCAGAAACATCTGTTCCACCAACAAGGCAAAACAAAACATATCTTTAAAAAGCACAGCTGTGGTGTACTCCAGCTCAGTTCCTTTTCCTTAGGCTGCTTTACTGTAGAGCTTTAGGCTAAAGCAAAGATTTCCCCAAGCCCTTCAGGAGACCAGGCACTGTTCTCCAATTCCACATCCCGTAGTCTGTCCAAAAAGAAGCTTGGGTTAAGATGCAAGAAGGACCCTCAGGCTCTTCCAGGAGTTGTGCAGAGAGGGTTTCCTCCCTTCTTAGGGAGCCACAGCCCCTTTCTCCTGCTACCAAAAAGCAATCTTGCCCTGACAAGATCTTTGGATACTGCTGTAAATGCTCCTGCTTCTTCCAGCGTGGGTGATGTGTCCGCACTAGAGAAGAGCCAGCCTTGGAGCTGCAAAGGTGCCATGTTCCTGCACTGATACCATCAAGTGAGAAGACAGAACTCATTTTTTCCAAGCCTGACTTGTTCCAGCTTTCCCCATTGCTCAAGGCAGATTTGTCACCATCCATCTAAAACTGTAACGTGCCATTGACTCGTACTTCTGTGGAAGCAGAACAAGCCCATAAAAGCGGTTTTCACAGGAGCACCAAGAGGAGTTTATGCCAGTTTGTTTGTTCCACAGGCATTTTAATGCATTACTCTTGGAGGATTGCATTTGAGGAACCATCAGGGATTAAACACACCTGAGCTTCTATGAAAATACTGTTCATAAGCACCCCTTATGCTTCGTAATGAGAGCTGTGTGTCGGTCAACCTGTTTCATTTGGGTTCTACAGCAGACCACCCCACTTCTGCACACACAGGATGGACTGTCAGGATCCAGGACAGCACCAGGAATAGGAGCCAACATCATCTGAGCTCAGGAAAGGCACTCCTTTCAGCCTCTGCAGACTGTGGGTCTTCCTGGACTGGAGGTATGCAGGCCCTGCATTCAGATACACATCACAAGATCCTTAACTGCACAATGACACCTCTACCTGGTACTGCAGTTCCACCCTGGTCCCCCACCAATGTTGCAACCATCATGACAATAATTGGCCTCCTTTCAATTTTAGTGGCCATGGAGGCATTGGGAGTGGGATGTGGAAATAGGTCAGACACCTCTCTCACCAGGAAGCATCAAGCATAATGACTTTCTCCTAGACCTTGGTCCCTCACATGCCACCATCCCAGTCTGCTTCAGGTTGAGCTCCAACTTGCAGGGCCATGCACAGCACTGAAAAACCTTGCAGATAAGTTTCAAGTCACTATCAAAACACAGGAGACGATCAAATCACCTCCTTCTGAGGAAAA